TGTAGAGGAGCGGTTAGAGAAACGGTTGAGCAGCTGGAAAGGCAAGCTGCTCTCTGTTGGAGGGTGGCTAGTTTTGATTAACTCTTTCCTCACAAATATGGTCCTCTATATGCTTTCTTTTTTCCAACTTCCAAAAGGGGTCCTGCAAAGACTGGACTATTTCAGATCCAGATTCTTTTGGCAAGGAGATGGGGAAAAGAAAAAATACAGACTAGCCAAGTGGAGTGTGGTTTGTAGGCCCAAAGACCAAGGTGGCCTTGGAATTCATGACATGCAGGTTAAGAATGAGGCTCTCCTTAGTAAATGGTTGTTCAAACTTCTTACTGAGGATGGTGTTTGGCAAACCATACTGCGCAACAAGTATCTAGGCCTTAAGGCGGTGTCTCAGGCATATTGGAAACCTGGCAACTCGCACTTTTGGGCTGGCCTAATGGCGGCAAAGAAACATCTCTTTCGCTTTGGGTCTTTCGCGATAAAGGACGGGTCGGAGATTCGTTTTTGGGAAGATATCTGGCTAGGCGGTACCACTCTCCGAGAATAATATCCAGCCTTGTACAACATTGCTCGCGATAAGAATAATACTATTGCGCAGGTGCTCAGTTCATCCCCCCCCCCCCGAATATTTCGTTCAGGCGGGATTTGACTGGCCCCCGACTTATGTCATGGCATAATCTTTTGTCCCGTCTGGATGCGATTAGCCTGACAGAAGGGCGGGATGTGTTTCGCTGGAACCTTACTACATCAGGGTCTTTCACCGTAGACTCTATGTATTATGCGCTCACGCATTTTGAGGTACTGGTGAGTAATAGTAAGAAAATTTGGCGGTCGAAGATACCACTAAAAGTTAAAGTCTTCATGTGGTATCTTTGTAGGGGAGTTGTTCTAACCAAAGACAACCTCGCACGGCATAATTGGCAAGGGAGTAAGAACTGTTGTTTTTGTACTCATGATGAGACCATCAGACACCTCTTTTTCCAATGCAACTTTGCACGTTCTACGTGGTCAGTCATCCAAATAGCGTCAAGTTTATATCCGCCCACAAGTGTTGCCAATATTTTTGGTCATTGGTTTGACGGTATTTCAAATAGGTTCAAAACGCTATTAAGGATGGGAGCGTATGCCTTACTATGGTCACTTTGGCTATGTAGAAATGATTTTGTTTTTAATGACAAAAATGCTTCTCCTTTGCAGGCTATTTTCCGTTGTACGCACTCGCTTCGTATGTGGTCTATGGTACAACGAGCGGAGGTCCACCGTTGTTCAAGGCGGTGTGTACGCGGTTGGAGCAGGTGGCTACGGAGGTTTTTACCCAACATAGGTGGCAGCATAACCTCCGGATCGGCCCATCTCATCTTTCGACATAGGCACAGTGTCGGTCTATAGGACTCTACTATTGCCGATTCGTCGGTTTTTGTTTTCTTCTGGTTGTCAGACTTTGGATGTTCGGCTGTGTGCATCCTAATTATGCAGAGGCCGGGTGTTGCTCATAATGTTTTGTATCCACTTGATGCTATATTTTTTAGTTAATAAAATTGCCCTTTATCAAAAAAAACTTGCAAGAAATGGAAGTCTACAATTCTACATATGTATCGTCTCAGGGTTGGTGTCCATAAGCCGTGGGCGCCATGCCTTTGCTGCGCCATATATATGTATGTACTGTCCAACAGTACAAGTCCTTGCAAAGGACTAGGCGTGTGCTCGATCGCCGAGCCAAAAAAAGTTACTTCGCCCTTTCTTTCTTGCTTGGTAGGTATATATGTCGTCAAGTTAGCAAATCTATAGCTAGATCCATTCATCCATCCACCTAGGATCAGGATGCTCTACTTAAGAACACATGTAGTGTCAAGGAAGGACGTACCTTTCGCAAAAAAAAAAGGGAAGGACGTACCTAACGACAACTCGAGTTTCAAAAATTCCCGCGTGATTCAGCTAACGACAGCCGGAGCTATAGGGGCGGAACCGCGCAGCAGCACCGTGACTGAACGTGGGACGGAGCCCACGTCGATCGTGCCTTGCCTCCGACAACAAGGGGAGCTAGCTAGCTGGCATGTGACGTGAGAGTGAGACGACGGGGCCAGATCGATGGAAACGCTCCATTGAATATGCGGTGGCGCTTTGGACGGCGGCTGCCTCCCGCTGTGCATCGCGCGCGCAGGAGACACACGGCAATGTGTATTGTGCTCGTCGATCGGGTTATCGGACACTGGTGGTGGTGCTGAATGCTGATGCTGAGACGAGGAGAGAGACGGATCGCAAGGCTAGCCCTAACCTAGCGGCAGTGGCGGAGCTTGCAGCCCAAACATGGGAAGGCCGACAAGAAGAACATAGCTTATGGGCTGCTATTTTAAGGCTCAAGAGTAGATGTATATTGTATAAAACTTCATGGGCTGGGCGGGCCACAGCCCATTCAGCCTTGCTGAAGCTCCGCCAGTGCCTAGCGGTAGAGAGGGATGGGTCGATGCCGCCATGCCGGGAGTAGAGAAGTAGTGCAATCTGGCCGGCTCCAATGGCTTAATTTCTCCTTCGTCCACAGTGCCTTGTAGGAGAAGGGAGGGAGAGAGTGTAATGCGTTCACTGTAGCGATAGCGAGGCCGGGCGGCTCCAGACCCGCACGCTCGCACTCGGATGGATCTTGCCGATATCCGGACGTAAGGGGCGGTGGTGGCGGGCGATCGAGCCGGCGACGGCGTTCACATCGATCGACAGAGACTCTCTCCGCTCCTCCAAATACTTTTGATGCACAAGACCGTACCGTACGGGTGCACGTCTGGTCTGCGCCTGTGCATCGTGGTGGGGCAAAATTTCGTGTTTTGACTCTTTTCCGAAACCTGTTCGAAATCCGACCCTAAATTGAAAAAAATTCAAGTTCTGACCCTTTTGCTACCGCCAGAGTCCATGGCGGTAGGGTCTAACAGCCTACCGTCAGGGACTTTGACGGTAGGAAACATCCTGCACAACCCTACCGCTAAGGTGCTTGGCGGTAGGCACGAGCACGCACTGTGTTCAATACTTAGGCGGATTTTGGCAGTAGGACATGCAACCCTACCTTCAGGGTCTTTGGCGGTAGGCTGTTATACCCTACCGCCATGGTCCCCGGCGGTAGCAAAAGGGTCAGATCTCGAAATATTTTCAAACTAGGGTCAGATCTCGAATAGGTTTGGAAAAAGGGTCAAAACACAAAATTTAGCCTCGTGGTGGACATGGTGGTAATGGATGTTTTCACTACTGTACGTAGTACATTGTTTGCAATAATTGCTTTATTGTTAAGAGGAGGAGATCTCCTGGTTACCTCGCCTGCTGCTACTGAATGCGTTCCCTGTAGCGCGTCCTAGGTGGGAGGGAATGAATTGCAACTTGGCGCCTAAAACAAAGCATGCAATCAGACAAACAATTGCCGTGCCCTACCCACAACCACCGCTACTCTTGCTCGATATCACAGCGCCTTTAAGGCGAATTTACGCGACCTGACTGATGCACTCGGTAACAAACAATGCTTCATAGTACCAGGCGCTATAATTGCTCTTGATTGATTCTCCCACGTTCGGGTGACCTAAGAAAAACAACATCAACGAGAGGGCGACTTTTTACGTTTCTTGGCGTTCAAACAACTTCAAAACGAAAATCATTCCATCAGAAAATAGATGCCAAGCGGCAGCCTTTCAAGAGGCAACGTTAGTAAAAATGCCGTGGTTTCTTTACATGCCATCAGACAAACAAGCTCAGGGACTACGCTCTGGGTTTTGCTCCAATTGTGCTGCCAAGCTACCAAATCGACAAGCTAGGTTGGACGGGACAAATGTAGCCTATAAGCCAACCTTAATTATCAGCTAGGACCATCAATTATCCATGTCATATGATCA